TTTGTAAAGTCTGGATATTGTAGCAGTTTCGGTGACATTAAGGCTGATCGCAACGCTTGAAAAGCTTCATCGCATTTCTCATCCCAAACGAATTCTACTCTTTTCCTACTTAATTTCTTCAAAGGTGCTGCCACAGTTGCAAAATTGGGGATAAACCTTCGGTAATAATTCGCAAATGCGACAAAACGTCGTACCGCATCTTTGTCAGTAGGTTTAGTATACTTTTTAATTGCAACTATTTGCGAATCGTCTGGCAGCAGACCTTTTGCTGAGCATTTGTGCCCTAAAAACGTTACTTCGGGCCTGAGAAAATTACATTTTATTTTGGGTTTAATTTTAAGTTGAAGCTTTAACAAGTTTCGAAAACTTTCGCTAAATTTTTAATGTGATGTGCTTCGCTGCAGCCTATAACAATTACGTCATCTACATATAAAAATGCTACGTTGGGTGGAATACCAGAAAAAGTTATACTCATCATTCGCGAGAATGAGTTGGGTGCTATACTTAAACCGAATGGTAATACATTCCATCGATATGCTCCACGGTATGTGCTAAAAGAAGTTATATCACGTGAATCCTCATGTAAGGGGATTTAGTGGAATCCAGAGAAAAGATCTAAAGTGGAAAAATATTTGGCTCTGCCAAGATTGTCTAAAATATCATCAACTCGTGCGAGAGGGAATTTATCCGCAATAAGTTTTTTTTTGACTGCACGGAAATCAGCGCACATACGATATGCTTTTTGACCATTAGTAGATTTTTTAGGAACCAAAACTAGAGGACTATTGTAATTTGAATAACTTCCTTCAATTAAATNTTTTCGTGTCTAGTCATTGATCTCGTCTGTATAGCCAAAATATTTTTTGTTGATTCCCTTATTTCGTCTAACGTTATGCATGAGAGTGCGTCTGCGCCAATGTTTAATTTCCCTTTAATATACTCAATAGTAAAATTGTACTCTGCTAGTTCTAGCCTTATTCTTGAAAGTTTTGAAGCGGGTTCTTTCATATTGAACAGGTATACTAATGGTCTGTGGTCTGATTTTACTAAAAAATGCGTTCCATAAAGGTATGGTCGAAATTGTTTTATGGCAAAGTAGATTGCTAAAAGTTCTAATTCAATTATTGGTTTTTTCTGTTCTACATTGTTAAATGCCTTCGAAGCAAAACATATTGGTAAATCGCAACCTTGCTGTTCTTGGCTAAGTATAGCCCCACACCCTGTTTTTGAAGCATTAACTGTAATAATAAATTGCTTTGTAAAGTCTGGATATTGTAGCAGTTTCGGTGACATTAAGGCTGATCGCAACGCTTGAAAAGCTTCATCGCATTTCTCATCCCAAACGAATTCTACTCTTTTCCTACTTAATTTCTTCAAAGGTGCTGCCACAGTTGCAAAATTGGGGATAAACCTTCGGTAATAATTCGCAAATGCGACAAAACGTCGTACCGCATCTTTGTCAGTAGGTTTAGTATACTTTTTAATTGCAACTATTTGCGAATCGTCTGGCAGCAGACCTTTTGCTGAGCATTTGTGCCCTAAAAACGTTACTTCGGGCCTGAGAAAATTACATTTTATTTTGGGTTTAATTTTAAGTTGAAGCTTTAACAAGTTTCGAAAACTTTCGCTAAATTTTTAATGTGATGTGCTTCGCTGCAGCCTATAACAATTACGTCATCTACATATAAAAATGCTACGTTGGGTGGAATACCAGAAAAAGTTATACTCATCATTCGCGAGAATGAGTTGGGTGCTATACTTAAACCGAATGGTAATACATTCCATCGATATGCTCCACGGTATGTGCTAAAAGAAGTTATATCACGTGAATCCTCATGTAAGGGGATTTAGTGGAATCCAGAGAAAAGATCTAAAGTGGAAAAATATTTGGCTCTGCCAAGATTGTCTAAAATATCATCAACTCGTGCGAGAGGGAATTTATCCGCAATAAGTTTTTTTTTGACTGCACGGAAATCAGCGCACATACGATATGCTTTTTGACCATTAGTAGATTTTTTAGGAACCAAAACTAGAGGACTATTGTAATTTGAATAACTTCCTTCAATTAAATAGTTATCTAGTAATTTGTTAACTTGGCGAGTTATCTCTTCACGTTGGGAANCACGGAAATCAGCGCACATACGATATGCTTTTTGACCATTAGTAGATTTTTTAGGAACCAAAACTAGAGGACTATTGTAATTTGAATAACTTCCTTCAATTAAATAGTTATCTAGTAATTTGTTAACTTGGCGAGTTATCTCTTCACGTTGGGAATATGGCAGACGATAGTTATAGTCCCGATAGTTTTTTACCGGGTTACTGTCAGTCAGCCTAAGTTTCTGTTCATAAAAATTGTTTAGTGTCATTTTGTCATTGTCAAGAGCGAAAATGTCTGCATATTTGATGCAAAGGTCAAGTAGGTTGCTGTTAGTTCCTGTGAATATTTGGTTTTTCAAAATATTTGTTAATTCGTTCGTTCGTGAGTCTTCTGTCTTGGTTTTATTAATTGAGTAAACGTGTTAGAAAGTTTTCCGGTCCGAATATTTACATTCTTTAAATGTTTTACGTCATCTGTGGTATTTATGATTTTAATAATTGGGTTACTGCTATTAACTATGCATCTTGCTGTGAATACACCATGATCAACTTC